ATGATTGGCGGATCACAGCAATAAACGGCAGTTGAGTGCTCTCGCCACTAGCGCTATTTCTTCTCCTCTGATGTTACTACGGGATTATACTGTAACACGAGACCCTCAAACGCCTCTTTACAATTCCCAAAAACACATTCCCCTGTCCTTTCATGAGCGTCAACTCTTGAAATCCCTCTCATTTGAAGCCTGACAAGTGAACACTTATAGGACGGACTATCCCGTAAAAAGCCGGAACAGGGTGACCACCAATCCCAAGACAGAGGGAAGAATAAATAATTATGTAATCATGTTTTGCGCCCCTGTTACCGACCTCTTCATTCTTTGTAATGCAGCCATTACAAATAATTAATACAAGATGCATGTTTTTCTGTTGAACACAGTATAACAAAAGATCATGGTTGGAACAGTTGAACAAACAGCGTATTTACGGGGCTTACCCACCGTTCGGAGAAGAAGCAATCAAGTCCACGAACACGCGAAGAGGCAACTTATTACTAGAACACTAAATATGGAAAAGTTAGGTCTTGTCACAAGACTGGTGTATCTAAAAACGCAGAAGTGAAGTAACCTATAATGCAATAAATAATTATTCTTACACTAAAGAAACGTCTCTTGTATGACTCAACCGCTCATCCTAAGTTATCTAACGTTTTCTCACGGTAGCAAGTCTCTTTATTTCGCATTTCCCGCCCAATGACAATGGTAGTTGCATTCAAAACCAGCTTAAAAAAGTTATACTTGATAAAAAAGAGTCATACTCAATAAAACAACAATTTTAATTCTGTATTTTATCGACTATAGTTTCTCTTTGTCATTACCATAAACACTGAAGGGAATCGAACCGCTTTCACTGGTTAAAACAAATTGACGTTGGTATTTCACACTTTGTTCACCTAGAGTTTATGGGCATTTCATTTCTCTGTCAATCTCTAACGTATAGAGAAATTACGGGAAAACAACCCACCGAAAACGAACAACCACTTAACAATACAGTTTATCGCATCGGCGTCAGTTTCCGACAATTTTAAGAAAAAAGTTTTTTTTTCAATCTACCACTACACGGAAAATAAAATGCAATTCCATTTTTTTTTTCCTCAAGGAACAAACCCCGAGTAATATGAATTTGTTAATCAGCTAGAAAATCATCGTCATCGTCATTTAAAAGGTCATCATCATCTATATTGAGGTCGTCCTGCGAACAGAACAGAAATATGCAACTGTTACAGAGGACTGCAAAATTTAACTTACCAGGAGTAAAAAGTTACTATGAAAAATGTTTAAAGGGGGAGAAATCATAGAATTTGTTTTAAAAAATGAAAATAGCATGAAAGTACCGCCGGTGACTTTTGCATCAAATATTCAACAAGAAAGCACCTCGTACTGGACATAAATTGCTTTAAATAAAAGACATTGCCGTACGTTCGTGAGTATAAGGAAAAGGTTTG